TTTATTTAGTCATAAGATTAGGAAGCAAACAAGTACCCCTAGATTTTAAGGAGAAAGACATTGTCCAACCACCACAAATGTACATATAAATGCCTCTTATTCACTTATTCATCAGTTAAAACTTCTCCAAAATAAATTTAAAAATTAATAAAAGTATGGGAAGAATTCTAAGACAGTTCCTCATAGTAAGAATGCCAGTGCTTTGGCCCAAAGAGCCATCAATCATTGTCTCTGAGCAAATACTTGCTAGAACAGGTTAAAAATATAAATATATTTATAATATTTATTATAAATAAATATTTTGAACTACAGAAGATAGACAAAACTTGAAATTTCTTGGAAGGAACTTAAAGAAAGGAAAATTCTGTTATATTGTATAGGTGTATGAGGAAATTCAAATACCAAGGTCAAAGCTTGAAATGGGTTTTATAAGATCAGAATGTATTTGCATGCGATAAGGGGAGGGGTTGAATTCTGTCCTCAGCACCACTCTTCATTTGTTTTTGATATATTGGCGTCTGCTTCTTAAATAGTTTGAAAGCATATTTCTTTTCAAGGAATTGAGAAAAATTTAAGATGATTTTGTGAGATAGAAATATAGATTTTCCACACATACAGCTTTTATAAAACAGTTGCCAACCCTAACAACACAGTTTCATAGAGTAAAACTTCTAAATGAAGTAGAAAAGGTAAATATTAGTTCCATTTTTCCCTCATGATAAACTAATTAAAATAATTTTTCTATCCTCATTTCATAAGTGAGTGATGGAAGGGGTCTTAGTTTTCATACTTTATCTGGCACACCTCAGAGAAGACTCTTTTAACAGACTAAATGGTTGCATTAGACTTAGATTCCTTTTCTGGAGAGAGCTTACTCAGTTGGTTTCTTTTATCAAAACTCAGAAGGTCTCCACTCAAATTTTAACACTCATATCTAGAATTGGTTATTTGTATGTTTTTCCACTAATATTTTGATGTCTTGAAAATATTTAGATAAAAAAAAGAGAAAGTTTTCTCTTTTAACCTTTGAGGAGTCTTGGCTTTTACTACTATTTGAGAGACACTTCATATTCTCCCTAGAGCTCTGCTGTTGGCTTCTGTGGGAAAGTCATATTCCTCGTATTGCCAATGAAGTGCCAAAGGTTGTCTGTATTCCACCAGAAACTTCATGACCATGAAAATCTGTGACTAAGAATGCAAGCCTGGCCAAGTATTTTTTCCTGTTGTAAAACAATGAAAGCAGGGAAGTTGACCTTCTTGAATATGATAGGAGAGTTCCAGTGAGTCCAGTGGAAGACAGAGTTCAGAAGACAGGGTTTGTTGTCTTCACCCTTTGCAACAGAATGGGACCTTTGATATTTCACTCCATTAAGATGTGGGGAGAGTAGGACTATTGGGACCTTTTGAAATGATTGTCAAAAGGGAGCCACTGGCTCTTGTTGATATGAAATCTAAATCAAACACAGATGATAATTAGTCTAAGTGTCCAGAAAAACTCATGGTAAAGTTTAGGAATAATAATACCCATCACTAGCATGGAATTTATGAAGTCTGATACTATACAAAGTGCTTCAAATTACTTGTTTTATGCTCACAATAATCCTGTGAGTTAGAACTACTATACTTCCCATTTTAAAGAGGAGAAGACTGAAGCAGATAAGGTTATAAAACTCATGTTCAGTCACATATCTAGTTAGTAGAGCTGAAATGTGAACCAGGCAGTCTGACTCCAGATTCTGTGCTGTCTAGTCTAATCCAGAAAAAAAGTATAGGCTACTGGGTGAGAAATTCTCGGCTGAACTCTGTACCCACCAGACAAAGTAACATTCAGAAAATGAGACACACCAGTCAATACAGTCTATTTTCTTTATTCATCTGAGGAAAACAATTTTAATTTTTGAATGACCAAACATATCTCTAAATTTTTTAGCTTTTTAAATCCCAAGAGTAAATGCAAAATAAGTATATGGAGAATGTTTCATAAAATTTAAAACTACAAGATCCTTTCTCATATTTTTATTCATCTTTTAAGAATAATGTAAAATAAGTCTTATCTCTATTTTATTAAAGATGAAATGGAAGAACGGAGAGATTATATATTGTGTTTGGGACCAATAATCAGGAATGAGAAGAATTAAGACTAGAATTTCTCTCTGTGTTATTTCAGCCTCCATTCTTTTGAAACTATACTACACACTTGTGGGATTCTCTTAGAACCAATGGGAACAGAAGAAGTTAAACTGGAGCCATCTCTGTTCTTCCCATGGTTAGTAAGAGAACAAAGGTGAACAATTGTCCTTTTTAATATTTGGGCCGAAGCAAGTTGTTTTTCTTCATATCTGTAAACAAATCTGATTTCCATTAGCTCCTTGACTCTTACAGAAACCATTAAATATGTTGAAGGCAAAAGGTGGTGTATTCTATTATCTCAAGCCCACTTCTTGATGGAGGTGACTACTGACAGATCTCAGCAAGAGATCCAGAGGTTCAGAGTTGTGGATGGTGAAAAACATCAAATACCCAATCTTGGGTGGTATTCAGATCCAGGAGCAGATCAGGAGGCTATCCTTTCCTTCATCTTCCTTCTCTCCTCTCCATGCATGTGAGTATGACCTAATGCAATGTTGATAATGAAGATGAAAGAAAGGAAGAAGATGGATGGAAAGAGGGAGAAATACAGAAGAAATGAGGGAGAAAAGTGGATGAAAGCCACAAAGAAAAAAATTGAAAGAAGAAAGAAAATTGGATTATGAGTGTTAATAAAAGGCACCTCAGAGAACATTTTTAGCCAGCCTCCCTTTGGATCATGGAGACTCCCTTTGGATCATGGAGACTCCCATTGACTTACTTCCTCTGACCTACATTTAGTAAAGTCAGTAACTTTCTTCCTATAGCTGTGATGGAAGAAAAAAAGGGAAAAAAAAATCTAGGATATGGAACCAGAGCCAATTTTATGTCCCACTTCACTAGCTTTATGCCTTTGTGTTTCCATCACTTAAAGGACCCCACCCACAATGACTCTGATGACTCTGATTATAAAATGAGGATGACAATTGCTACTTCCCTCAAAGGTTTGCTCTAAGGAACTTACAACTTAATGGCAGTAAAAGTGCTGTGAACTTTAAAATGCTACACAAATGTTATTATAATTACATTGGGAGCATTAGGTTTCCCAAGCCCATTCCACCCTTTTTGGCCTTACAGTGCACCTGCCTCTAGAAGATCTGTGTTACTTTAACAGAAAGTTAATTAGGTCCTTTACCTTCCCTCTGGATATCTGCCTGAGTTAGAAGTGAGGCTCAGCACACAAGCTCCATCATCCATATTAAAAGTGGGATTTTCTGACTTGGTCTGGGCAGACAGTTGACCAATAGGTTCCAATGTGTGTTTTCAATAAAGCTGCTCACCCAGGAAGCCTTATTAAGTGAGTAAGTCAAGCTGACATGATTTCCGTGCTGATTAACATGAAACCTAGGGTGTTTTCGCAATGTAGTAACATTAATTATTTATAGGAGGTAAATGAGGTTACAAGGAAAACAAGCTCCAATTACCAGAAACAAATCAAATCATATATTTATATTTTTAAAAGCTGTGTACTAATCTCTGCATTCATTGATTTGAAGCTCAAGCTTCAAGGATCAAAATACATTTATCATGTTCTCCTTTTTCTCATAATCAAAGTTGATGGAGGGTTTAATGTTTCAAAGACTAGCTTGTAAACTGGGATGCCCCAGTGGCTTATTGGACACTTTTATTTGGTAAGTTATATGCCTACAAACTGCTCAACAAGTTTCAAAACAATTCAAACCCTTGTAGAATTGAATGCAAAATATTTACTAAGCCACATTCTCTTCTGTTCTTCACACAGCAAATTTTGGATAGAAAATTCTGATTAAACAATATCTGTTAGGCAAGTGAATTAAAAGCAGTCAGGCTGTTTCTGTGTTTACCTGAAATAGTACTGTCTTATGCTCACAGTCACTATATTCTGTTTAGCATTTCAAATAAGGCATTTTTATAAGAGTTGCACTAAAATAATCTTGGATAAGTTTGGTTAGACCACAAGTTTGTACTGCTAGCTGTTGCTATGGTGTGATATGCATGTGTAATGAAAAGAATTCTCACTTTAACATATGGGCAAATTTGACAGATGATCAGTGATAACCCCCTTTCTTTTCATGATCCTTTCAACAAATCATGCCACTAACACCTCTGATATCATTAACAGCAGAGAACACAAGGTGCTTATTAAAAACAAAATATTCTTCTGGTAGTAGTGATATAAATGTTTGATGGTCATATAGCACATCAGCCAGTGTGACATGGCCATTTTGTAGGGGGTACTTAAAGCCACTAGTTGACAGTACCAGTAAGAAATATGAGATATTATAAATTAGATGTACATGAAATGCCTCTAAGTAGAGGTTGAACTGTCATTTGTCAAACATATACAAAGTAGTCTAAATGATCTTGCTACAATTTTTCATTTGTTTCATGGTAGGAGCATACTTTACTTATTTAATTATTTAACATGCATTTTACTTATAATTTTATATACCAGTATTTACTTATTATAGCATCATCTTTCACTTTCAGAAATTATTTTATTTGAATAATGATTTATATCCTCACCCTTTCCATTTACTTTTATGTTATGAATTCTTATAAGAAAGAAAAACATATGTTTGGATTTGTATGTCAATTAGTTTTATATAAAATATCCATGAGATAAAGAACCTCAGGAAAAAAAGTTCGGCACTAGCACTGCAATGAAAACAAAGTTGATTTGCTTATAATGTAGCACAGCTAGGTGAGTTGACATTTCTCTGAGCTTTACATTGATCATTTAAAATGGACAACTTGGACAAGATAATTATGAATTGAATCCCAATGCAAAGTCTGTGTTCTGTATCTAGGGTATAAAAAGAAAGTTTCATTTTAAATCAAATCTTACATTTGTAGGAATTAATTTTGAGTATTTATATTTTCCAGGATCTGGACATGGCAAAATCTTATGTGAAATCCAAAGAGATGGTGGAACTGGTCAACACACCATCCTGGATGGACAAAGGTCTGAGCTCTCAAAATGAGATGAAGGAGGAGGAGAGAAGATCAGGTGCTTATGGGATGCTTGGCAGCTTAACTGAAGAACATGACAGTATTGAAGAGGAGGAAGAGGAGGAAGAAGATGGGGAGAAACCTAAAAGAAGAGGTCCCAAGAAAAAGAAGATGACCAAAGCTCGCCTTGAGAGATTCAGGGCTCGAAGGGTCAAGGCCAATGCTAGAGAGAGGACCCGGATGCATGGTCTGAATGATGCTCTGGACAACCTTAGGCGAGTCATGCCCTGTTACTCTAAAACCCAAAAGCTTTCCAAGATAGAGACTCTTAGACTGGCCAGGAACTATATTTGGGCTTTGTCTGAAGTCTTGGAAACTGGCCAGACACCTGAAGGAAAAGGCTTTGTGGAGATGCTCTGTAAAGGTCTCTCTCAGCCCACAAGCAACCTGGTAGCTGGATGTCTCCAGTTGGGGCCTCAGTCTGCCCTGTTGGAGAAGCATGAAGAGAAATCACCTATTTGTGACTCTGCCATCTCTGGCCACAATTTCAACTATCAGTCACCAGGGCTCCCAAGCCCTCCTTATGGCCATATGGAAACACATATTCTTCATCTCAAGCCTCAAGTATTCAAGAGTTTGGGGGAATCATCCTTTGGGAGCCATCCACCTGACTGCAGTACACCTCCTTATGAAGGGCCACTCACTCCACCCCTGAGTATCAGTGGGAACTTTTCCTTGAAGCAAGATGGCTCTCCTGACCTTGAAAAATCCTATAGCTTCATGCCCCATTATTCCTCTGCAAGTCTAAGCTCAGGGCATGTGCATTCAACTCCCTTTCAGGCTAGCACCCCCCGCTACGATGTTCCCATAGACATGCCCTATGAGTCCTACCCCCACCATGGTATTGGAGCCCAACTCAACACGATCTTCACTGATTAGAGCAGTAAGATCAGCATTTCAGTGAATGACGTGGAGATGTTTCCCTTGATTCAAGTGGTTGAGCTGAAGATACAAAGACTTTAGAGAACCCTATGGATATACATTAAATATAACAGTCTTAGTCCACTTAGGATCCCCTGTATCTTTTCCCATCTCTTCTCATTAACTACTCGCATTGTATTGATTTCTTTATTTAGGGTCTTTAAGTGAAATTACTTGATGACTTGCAACCATGTGGCAATAGAAAAGAAAGCCTAGGTTCTATTACAATGGTACCCAAAATCATTGAATACTTTTCTAATTCAGTTTTCCATTTCTGGTGTCTTCTATTTACTGATAATATGAAGCAATTTCTCTAAGTCTAGATGGTTTCTAAAGCTTTCACAGCTCTGGAATTATATTACTTTGATAATCAACTGTACATTCCTTAAAATTGAAAAAATAGAGTAATAATAAGAAATAGTATGCATGGAATGGTCAAATGAGGTTGCAAAGAGAGCATAAGTTTTATTTCTGTTAGTTTATAGAATGCAAAGTTTATTTGATCTTGATGATAAAACTTTTTTTGTTTCTATCTATCTAAAAGTAGCTTCCAGAGGATAAATTTTAACTTGGCTTTCACTGTGAATAACAAAGTATATTTGTTAAGATATTAACTCTACATCTCATTGGACAGAGGATTGGAAACACTTTTCTTAGTAATTTGAAAACCACTGTAGAAGTCTAATACCAATTATACTCTTGATAATATTTCAAAAGCACTTTTCTTGGTACTAGAGGTATAACAAGAAATTCTTTGAAATTGCAGACTTATATGACCAGTGGAAAACAGATCATTCAATTAGATCATTTCATGCCCTCTACAACCAGAGGACTCTGGAAATCCTGAGGTATTCAGGTGCTGCTACTGGAATGAGCACACAACCCAGGTTCACATTACAGAGCAATAAAATGGCTTTTGGCTGCGCTGACTAGCATACTTCAGGATCTCTAGCTCATACTTGCTTATAGGAAAACAACTGGATTTTCCTTCACAAGATGAATTTCATTGGTTAAAGCAAATATAATTGAAATCACTGATCTCTGTCTACATAAATATCATATTTTTCAAAAGCATAAGCACTAATCAACTTATTTATCCAGCTTTAATTTTCCAACATAAATACAATTCCCTATGTCCCCCCCGATTGTTACCTCTTTCTCACTTCCATGCTATCATATGTTCTTACATATTATATACAACATTCCAACTGATAAGACTTAGGGATTCAAAAATGAAAACCAGGTCAATGAATGCTTTTACCAATGTGTAAATTCATCACAGGTTTAGCCTAATCTTCAAGATGTTTACTTTTGTTTATGATACTTTTCATTGCTTTGTATTAGCACTGTCAAGTTTAACATTTTCCAAAGAAATGAGATTTGAGACATTTATTCAATCTGCCAGCACAACTATTTAGATGCAAACCAAGAGCTTTTTAAAAAATTCATTTATTCACATGTGCATACATTGTTTGGGCCATTTCTCTCCCCTGCCCCCCACTCCATCCCTCTCCCCTCCAGCCTCCCACCCCATTTCCAGGCAGAACCTGTTCTGCCCTTTTCCCCAATTTTGTTGAAGAGAAGATATAAGCAGAATAAGAAAGACAAAGATAAACCAAAAGCTTAAATGACTTATTTAATCATGGATCAGGTTCTGCTCTTTCCAGAGAAGACAGGTTTATTAAATACAGGGTACACCAGTAGTGTCAGTGAATAAAATTGATAACAGATTATGTCATTTTCTAAGGCTCAATTACCCCTTAAAATTTGTCACACTTTTTGGGTATCATATCTTTTTATCTCTTATTTATTTCTTTATAGTATAAATTATTTTTCTTACAGAACTTATTCTGCTATACTTTGCATCGTGATTTGGAAGTCTGTTTGAAAGTAGCTTGATTTCACCAGCCACCAAAGTGATTCCCCTCATATGAGATACCCTACTGGTAATAGGCAGGCTAAATAATTTATAGAGCCTGTCTGTGTACTTTCTGTGCATGTTGATATTTACCTTCATGAGGGGGTGTGGAAGGATCTATTCTTACAGCTAGTATTTTCTGACATTTAAATTTGTAGATAATGAATGTTGTCTGAGTTATTTATTAGATATTATTTATTTTATTTATTTCTATTTACCTTCTAAGAAATTCATTGGACCCCATAGGTGTGCTTGCACACTCTCCTTCAAGCTTCATTTGGAAAGTAGCTCATTATTTTGTTAGGAAGTACTGAGTTTTGGAGTGAGAGGAAAGGAGGAAGTTAATTCAGAATTTCTTGTAATGGTTTTATATAAAGCAGCAATTATTATTTTTCTTTCTCCTTTTATTTCATCATTTTTACTTTTACTTACATGTGTATACATTGTTTGTACCACCACCCTCACCCCCTCAAGCATCAATATTTGAGTAGCTATGCAACTTGATGTTTTTAGATTTTTTTCCTTTCAATCTAAAATGGTCAGAGATATTGGCAGGGGTGGGGGAGAAACCTATTGTTTAAGCCTTTGAAGAATACAGTACCTATGAACAGGCCTCCCTGGCATTGTGCAGAGAGATTTTATAATTGAATTAATATTTACTAGTACAGTGTGCTTGGAGTCTACTCTCCAAATCAGGGTGGTCTCATTGTTCTGTGGACTTTTACAGATAAAGCACAGCAATTGTTTAAATCTTTTGTTTAAAAAAGTGACTGTTTTCCCTCCATTTTTCTAGCAGGAATAAAGCTGTGAGTCTTACTATATAGTGTGTTGTGTCTTCAGTCTTCAAAGCTTTCCTTATTCTCCTCCATTCCTTTTCTTGGGCTCTCTGTTTGGCAAGCAGTTAGAAGAGCAGCCTGTCCATAGGATTTCTATAGCCATATTTCAGTTGATCTTGCCAGGACTTGAAAGTTCCAATGTAAATTGCTAGAAGTCTGGGAGTACCAGTCTTTGCCACTCATATTAGTTGAGGAAAGTAAAACCTTCCAGTTTACAGATATCTTTAAGGTTTTGGATAGTCAAAATTGCCAAACAAGAGAGTGGACAGTGGAAAGATGGATTATTATCTACAATTTAAGTGAGCCTGTCAACTTTTCAAACATTTTTTCTAAGGTGTTGGCGAGGATGCGGGGAAAAAGGAACCCTCTTACGCCGTTGGTGGGAATGTAAGCTAGTACAACCACTCTGGAAAAAAATTTGGAGGCTACTTAAAAAGCTAAACATTGATCTACCATTTGATCCAGCAATACCACTCTTGGGGATATACCCAAGACAATGTGACACAGGTTACTTCAGAGGCACCTGTCCACCCATGTTTATTGCGGCACTATTCACAATAGCCAAGTTATGGAAACAGCCAAGATGCCCCACCACTGATGAATGGATCAAGAAAATGTGGTATCTATACACAATGGAATTTTATGCAGCCATGAAGAAGAACAAAATGTTATCATTTGTTGGTAAATGGATGGAATTGGAGAACATCATTCTGAGTGAGGTTAGCCTGGCCCAAAAGACCAAAAATCATATATTCTCCCTCATATGCGGATATTAGATCAAGGGCAAACACAACAATGGGATTGGACTTTGAGCACATGATAAAAGCGAGAGCACACAAGGGAGGGGTGAGGATAGGTAAGACACCTAAAAAATTAGCTAGCATTTGTTGCCTTCAATGCAGAGAAACTAAAGCAGATCTCCTTAAAAGGAGAAGGGGACCAGGAACTAGAGAAAAGTTTAGATCAAAAAGAATTAACCTAGAAGGTAACACACATGCACAGGAAATTAATGTGAGTCAACTCCCTGTATAGCTATCCTTATCTCAACTAGCAAAAACCCTTGTTCCTTCCTATTATTGCTTATACTCTCTCTTCAACAAAATTAGAGATAAGGACAAAATAGTTTCTGCCAGGTATCAAGGGGGTAGGGCGGAGAGGGAGGGGGTGGAGTGGGTGGTAAGGGAGGGGGTGGGGGCAGGGGGGAGAAATGACCCAAGCATTGTATGCACATATGAATAATAAAACAACAAAAATTTAAAAAAATTTTTTTGTGAAGGAAGTTTTTTTGACAACTGCCTTTTATCATCTCTTCTGGTGATCTTTTTTTTTTTTTCTTCTTCTTCTCTTTTTTTTGGTTAGTTTTGTTTAGGCAAAACTTTTTAGGTCCTGCTAGAGAGGACAGGTTTAGTAATACAGGATATACCAGTAGGACCAATGAATAAAATTGATAACAGATTATCAGTTACCCCATAAAATCCAACTTTATGGAATCATGCATAAAATGCTAATTATAAACAAGTAATGATATCATAATAGATGTAAATAAACAAGTTGGTTAATAAAGGGAAGGACTTGGTTTTATGTATTAAGAAATAAAAAGGCTGAGTGTGGTGGTTCATATCTATAATTTCAGCATACTGAAGGCTGAGGAAGGTAGATCATGAGTTCAATCCCTGTCTCAAAAAATCAAGAAACAAAAAATATACAATGAAAGTCATCTTCCCATCCTAATCTTTCATCTGCTATTTCCTGCTCTTCAACTAGAAACTACTTTTTAAAATATATTTAGTTTATTAGTTACCAGGAATATTTTTTGAATGTATTACCAAATTTTAGGTACACTAGTCACAAATACTAGGGTGTATTATTCTCTCTTTCCTGTGAATGGTAGTATAATAAAATAGCTCTGAATATTGCTTTAATATGTAAGCACATATATTGGGATATTTTCATCTTTAATAAAAAGTTTATGAATTCTTTTTTAAATAAATGACTAGCCTTCAACATTAAAAGCTATAATTCATGAAATCCAATCAAGTAACTTAGATTTTTCTAATCTTTTGCAATACTGAATGATCATCTACACATATATCATTTGACACTTAACCAAGAGAGCCTTTACTTTGTGAAGAATGTCCAAAGACATACAAGATAATTTGAAAAATAAAGCAACCCTATCTGACAGTTATTGGATTCTTATTTAG